GAAGAGAGTTGAAGTACTTGAAAATGTTTAATAAAGCTGATTTTATTGCTTGGAGGTTACTATTAAAAAACATTGCAATGCAGGCATTAAGTCGACATGCTCGCTATTTTGGAATGACCTCTGGAAACGTTAACTTGTTCACAGAAAAAAGTCAAGTTAAACTCGGAAAGAAAGCGCGGAATAATTAAAAGCTGAGCTGAGTTCCGGCTGATATTGCTCTTTGCCGCAAGCAAGCAAGCAACAGTGCCGCAGCCTCGACAGGCCTTTCCTATTGCGCTTATAAGCGTTATAACATCGACTGGTCAATCCTTATAAATTATGGAGATACCCTTATGCCCATACTTGCATACCTCTATTGAAGACTTGACGACGTGCCCACTTGACACTGTCGCCCATCTTTTGTTGCAAATATTGAACACTTGTTCAGGCTTAGCGGTTTGCCAAACAATGCAACTTTGGAAATGGTTCCGGCTTCTGAGACAGATGCTAAGACGGTAGCTACAATTGCTCTACAGGTAAATGTACACTGAATATCTGTAGCTTACGCTCACTCCAGCACTAGTTTCCAGGTTCCTGAACATGGTAGAATAGAAAAGCAATTTGCTGTTTCTGAATCATTGCTGTCAGTGCTGCAAGCCTTTTCACCGCTGTTTGGTGAGGACTTGACGATATCTCAAGACGAATTCGTCCCTTGCTGTTTTTATATGAATCGTCAGGTAACTGGTTCATAAAAATTAGATTAAGTAATTTGAATCCTGTTTGTAATAGTACCTGGGTGAAGAGGAGTTGAAACGAGTCACGCTTTCTTCTATAGGAATAGCATCGGGGAGATGTCTCATCAGGTGCGCTTGATTTTCTTTTATCATTTATTTCCATTTCCTTGTTTATTTGAAAGTTCTTTTCTTAAATATTCACAGCTTTAATAGTGCTAGCGACTTACCCACTACACTGTTTTGTCCCTTCAATTTCGATTTGTCAGTATTATGATGTCAAATTTTACATACAGAGAATAGTAGTGATCCTGTGTTTTTGTTACTAGTTTGTGGTCATATCCAATTTTTAAGTTCAATGGATTTAGGATTAGATCAAGTGTTTCACTTTTACAGTGCATTGCAAAATTTGCCTAGGCATTTCCTTCTATATTTGTCTAACAAACCATTTCTGAGGATGTGGAGTCGGAATCTTGTATCGGATCGATATTGTGAATATGAGGGAGGTTCTGTGAATGTTTCTGCTAGAGTTAGTTGTTAAGATACCAGCGTCTACCTCTTACGGAGGAACAGAGAGCGGAAATCGCTTGGAGACTAGCAGAGGACGCTGCGAGAAAAGAAGCATTGTTATCGCATTACGCTCAGAAGAAAACGGAAAATGAGGTTAGGGCTCAACTGGAAGCTACTCGTTTAGCGGTGGGTAATCACATTTCATATAAGTGAATTCATAAAAACTGTGCAACTGCACTTTTTTCAGCAGTTTGAGGAGGATATCAGATTGGAGCGAGAAAGAAAGCAAGCGGAGCAGCCTCACACTTCTCATGCACCAGAAGATGTAGAACAGTGAGTGCTTCCTATACCTGCAGTCTCTTTCAGGACTAACATTCCTAAAGTGTTAAGGCCAATCAATCACCCGCTTGTCCGCGACATACTGGGTAACCCTCCTCAAAATCAGAGCGGATGGTACTCTTCTGTTTTAATTTGATCTGATCTCATGTTATGCTCAGAATTTCTTCGTTTTTAAGGTCCTTTGATGCACCTATATTCTCTTCTACACCCGGGACAGTTAGTACCGATCGATTAACCAGCTTGAATCGGCTTCTTAATCAGGTTAGGTTACATTATCTAAACTTTATATTTATTTGCGTTCTGGTGTTCTTCAATGGCAGATCGATGGCAGTTCGCAGTTATGTAGAGTTTTGTATTGAGATAATAAGTATACTTTGCTAGATTGCCTTAGATGAGATACGGTATTTCCTCATCATACAATACAACAATATACACTTAGCCCTTAATCATAGTTTACATGTAATGAAATTCCAGTTTTACAATAGTTTCCATTTGTGATTCTAGGTGGACAACTCCCTTAACAGTCCAAATGTTCAGCAGAACGACAGGATTACAAACATCCTAGCTGATGAGGGTAGAGTTCCTCTTTCACGCATAGCAGTTGAGGCTATGGAAGAGGTACGAGTGTTTGCAAGTTTCTATCCCTTGGAATCGTGGTTATCATATGCCTCTGAATCAAGGACAATGTTACAACTGCAGTCCCAACGGTATCCTTCGTTGCGCCATGTGATCGTCAATCTGTGATATTCTTTCGGGAGTGCGTCTCTTTGCTTTTTGCTGTATTCCTACGTTTTTGAATATCTATGTAAGCTCTCCCATGCGCTCAGTCCTTGGACCCTTTCCACGGCCATTGAAGAAGCAATTAGAATTTTGAAGTGTTGCTTTTGCTCGAGCTGCATCTCACCTAGTTAAAATGCAGTATCCGATTTTGTCGTGCAAAATTTTTATCTTAGAATCAATTGAGGAATTCACTTTGCTTTAAATCACAATAATCTTTTATCAACCTTGCCACGATTTTATTCTTTGCTCTTAGAGATGGCTTTTGATGCTTAAAAAGTTTTATGATCACGACACTATTGTTGATATTTTCATTCAGAATTTGCTCAAGATTTGCTAAATATCCCTATATTCATAAGTGATATCTAATAAGTATGCTCCAGGGTTGAACCAGATACAGTGGATACACAGCTTACTGAAGAATTTTTCGAAGTTGGATTGGATGATCTTAAGAGTAGACAGAAAGAACTGCATGATGAAGTGTGAGTTCTTTTCAGTACGACCTCCATTATTGCTATTTGTTCTTTTCTTCTTTTGTGCAATCATCACTATGTTTTTGCAGTCGAATGCTGACTCAGCGAGCATTGATTCCAAAAGTTTACATAAACAGAAAAAATCGAGAAGCCAAACTCAGTGCCTACTGTCATACCGTGATACGAATTCCCATTGGGCAGGAACGTTTAATACAAGCACAGTTCAAAAGCGCAGAGCCGAGTAAAATTACATTCTGCCATCAATGCTGTTGCATAGGTAACTCCAGTGTTTTAGTTTCGCGTCTGTATGAGTGGGTGCGTAGTGTTTTGACACGAAATGTTCAATTCTCCTTGCATCTGGTCCTCAACGAACCTGTTGAGGATACTGACGCAAAGAACTTCGTTGACGTGGATATGGCGCCAAAATCTACGGTCTTTTTAAAGCTCAAAGACTCAAAGATTGACATCGGTGAGCGAATTATATCAGCACGGCAACCTATGAAGTATAACTTTCAGATATGTTGATAAGTAAAAATCTTCTGGAGTGTACCAATGAAGAAGCAAACAAACTCAGTGCGGACTGGTAAGTCTTTTTTTCTGTCTTTCTTGTCAGTTCTAGAGCTTTGTTTGAGTCGTTGATTAACAGGAAGGACTTTATACACTCCAATCTCATAACGTTCGTTCCTTATTAATATTCGCACTTTTTATTGA